GCGTGCTAGGACGGTCTGTAGAATTCTGTTTTGATGCTACTGCTGGCTCGGACATCGCTTCCTTGAGGTGAGAACTTGCACCTTGGCACCCATGTTGCGGAGGAATGCTCAAAAACCCCTTCAGATGCAGGCTGCTTGCACGAGCAGTGATGCGCGAGGGTCTCAAGGCGTGATGCTGCTGCAAGCTATGCAGGAGGTGCTGCTATGCTAAAGGGTGGGCTGAAACAAACGATTCCAAGAGGCCCCAAGTAAGGTGACTTCGTAGCGCAAGACTTGCCATCACGAGAATAATCTCAGAACCTTCTACCTTCACCTGACTCGTGACAATCCAGGGCCATGCATATCTCTTGTTTCCCTTAACATCAGCCAGCACAGCTTCGAAAAATGGCGGGCGCAATGGCGTACTGACAGCATACACTTGCCTGCAGCAACGGACATTTTTGATGATAGATTGATCCCAGAAAAGCCCGGTGACCCCTGATTCCGTGCAATATGCCTCAGATTATGCCAGGTTTGCAAAACACGCGGTGTTGGCATGAAAAGGGCTTGCCAACTGACAGTTTTGCAGGGGTAGTGGTGGTAATCATCCCTATTTACCAGTCCCTACATACACCCCCCTCTTAAACCCTAAACGCCAACCCCCAAGCCCCTAATCCCCAAACCCTGGTCCAAACCGTAATCTAAACCTTTTAAGTCTCGTGCCAGCCAGAAAAGATAGAGAAAGTTCAGTGGCATCTGCCTGTTGAGTTGGTAGGAGACATCATGCATCCTAAATCCCAGGAAATACAGCAGGCATGGGCTCCAAAACCCTGAACCCTATGATTTCCTGCATCAGAACGGATTGGCTTTGACAACCTGGGCCCTACAGGAACATCATGACCCTTAATACCTGTGACCAAAAACTTCAACAGCACACCGTCAACCATGAAAACCGTTAACGTCTAATCTGAGTATTGCTGAATAGTAACTGTGTTTCTGCTGTGTCGGATTTGTTATGTTGGGTTTGGTGTTGTTTTCTTACTCGTTTTGTCTTACTTTACATATTGCTTCTGATGCGCTGCATGTTTGATAATTGAGCCGCGATGTTTAATTTCGATGCACTATTTCTAATGCATTCAGCGTCTGCTCCGCTGTGTTCTGCGGTGTTCTGTGACGCTTGCTTTGTTCTTCTGCAGTCTTGTGGTTTCTGCTATATTCTTGGCACGAACTAGTGCGTTCTGCCTAGTACCCCCAAAAGTTCTTCGTGCCAAAACCTATACCTTAACCCCAATCCCTACACAAACTAGCTCCAGAATCCCCAGCCTAATCCTCAAAGCTTGGGATTTGTGGTCATGGAAGCTGCAAGATTATGTTCAAATCAACCCCTGTGAACAACGAGCCCCTAAACTCAACATTGAGGAAATGCACACGACCTCACCGCAACACCCCTAAATTGACTTAGAATCCGCCTTACTGAGGTGTTCTTTGTGCCTGGGTGAGGCTCATATTCGAATCCATCACAACATAGCCCTCTAAGGTTCGGGGTGTAGGGTATCTATATGGGCACGAAAGAGTTGTTATACAGTCACGTTGGGGCATATTTTGGTCACAACTGCGATCCCAGGCAGATGCATTGGGGCGAGAATATATACTGTTGGGCACGTGGAACCCCACACTCTGAACCATGTTGCATTCACATCTATCACAACATGAGTAATCCTTTTTGGTGGCTGAACCAAAGAACATTATGTTCTTCCAAAAGGAACTAACTAATCTTAACCTAAACCCTAAACTTAAACCCTGGATGGGGTATGTCCTTGGTCCCGGCGGTGACCGCCTCAATCCGCTGTATCCACAGCCGCGCACGGATGCGATCGTGCACCTGGCGTCAGGGTTCATGGCTTTAGGGTTTGGGGCTTTCCAAGGACTAGGCTTCTAAGAAGGGTCTTCACATATTAGGATTGATATTGGGGCTGTGCCTTGGTTCGGGGGGTTTAGGTTGTTTGAGGGTCTCTGCAAGCCAGTTTTCAAAACGGGTTCATCATAAAGTTAAGCCCTAATTTCATTAGGTTGATGCTTTGAGGCAGTCATCGGGGTGGACCTGGAAGCCAGGTTGTAGAGATTCAGGATTTAGGGCCTATTGTTGTTGAAGCTTGAGGTTTGGGGCTCAGGGCTCTAAAGTTCACGGTGTGTGGCTTGAAGGTAACCGTTAAATCTTGAGATTGTAAGTTTCTCGTCCCGAAAATGCTTTGTGACAAGCCATGTGGGATTTTGCCTCAAGTACTGTTCAAATGGGGGAAACCTAACTCAAGGCAACTGTCCAGGTGTTCTGAAAAGAGTCCTGACACGTCTGATGGATTTGGATGAAGTCTCTCCAAGGGCGCTTGCGAAGATGGTCAGTTTCACCTGATGTCATGATGTCCCGGCTATCTACTGCAGCCTCCCTGGTCGCGACGGCGACGGCGGTGATGGAGAAAGCTGTAGTTGTCGTGGCCGTTTTTGTGTTAGCAGTACTAATGCTATTCGCATAATTGCAATCATGATATTAATCGCCGCAGCAGTAGCAGCAGCAGCAGCGGCGGCGGCAGCGGCGGCAGCGGCGGCGGCGGCGGCAGCAGCAGCAGCAGCTGGAGCAGCAGGAGGAGGAGGAAGAGAAGTAGTAGAAGTAGCAGTGGTAGTAGTAGTAGTAGTAGGAGGAGGAGGAAGATGGGTAGGGGTAGGGGTAAGGAAGGGGTAGTGGCGGCAGCAGCAGAAAAAAAAAGGAGCAATGTGAGTAGACCAGAACACCTATGTGAAGCATTCCTGCAGGCCAAAGCGACCGAAGCAGCAGGACATAGTCTCCAAATAGGGTTTCGGGTTGAGCGATGGGTATATACATATACATACATATATATATGCTGCCCCCCGATGTACCTACTCTATTTGGTCTGGAAACCTTATTATATGATTATTTCAGATGTATATCATGAACACAAGGTCGAAAACATGCCAACCCTCTTCCCTTACATTTATCAAATTTGGGTCTTGTGCATGCAGACTAAATAGTACTACATGCACAATAGCGCCCCATTGTTCCCAGACCGCAGGCTTGCCATCATCAACCTGCAGGTCTTGCGGTGTAAGGGTCCGTTTGTCAAAGGTCGCCTTGTCCGCCTCGACCTCCTTCCAGGCACGAGGACATCCTCCAAATGTAGTGTCCTTCTCCTTCTACTGCACGCACTACATGCTGTTGCGGTTCAGCTTCTCAAGCGCCCTGTGGTTCATGTGCGTGAGCAAGTGTGTGCTAGAAAGAGGAACATTCAGGAGCCGTAGCAAGAGAGCAGCAGCTTGCGTCTGGAGAGAATGTCCTTCCGGGCCTTTGGTAGCCGTAAAGAATTGGTGCAGATGTTGCGGAAGAAAATAACGTTGGCATCGCTTGCTATTGCACCGATGGCGAAGGATATCACCACGGCCGTTGGAGGTGAGGGCACTGAGTTTGCCACGCTGACAGTGCGGACAGACCGCACCTTTCCAATCTGGTAGAGTGTGGTCCACAACAAGCAACCGTATGATGTCCTCATCACTCGCAGCCATGAGCTCCGGGATGCTGCGACGCCATTTCACCTGTAGAGGCCTTGACGTACCGAATCTTGATCCAGGATGTCGACTTCTTCGATGAAGGTTTTTTCTGGATCATATGCCAGACACCCTTCTTGGAGTTTGGAAATGGATTGAAGTTCTTGCTCGCCGGCATGGTAAGGCGTTCAGAGACACTGGGCGCAGAGAAACCTAACCTACCTTGACGCCAGGAATGCAAATGTGAGCTTCTCATTTACAAAGGGCACTGATTTTAGCAATGTTAAGATACTGCACATGTGTACGAAGCAACAAGAGCATCACATAGCATCAATCAGCATCAACATTGTTTTCCCGGACCTTGTTGCGGTGAGCCAGGCAAACACATCAAAATACTGTGCACTCCTCACTTCGCGTAGCTTGTTGTAATTCCTTTCTACACTTTAAGGACATAATTCCTTGGATAGTAGGGTCCGATACGGATTTTTAACTTCTATGTACCGATCAGTGTACACTTCATTTTTTCTCCGTGTACTATTTAGTATAGTGTTTCTACATAATGGCATGAGTTTGTGCGCAGGCATGCGCTTACTACGGAAGCAGGCCTTTCAGTTGAAAGTGACGAGGATCACCTACGGGATGTCCCCGTTGGCAAGGGCTCGATCCATTCTCCTCCAATGCCTGCGACAGATCATCCATGGGGTCAGGCACATCCTCAATGTCCAGGGGGCTGCCACTTGAGATACAACGCGGTGGGGAAGAGCGACGACGCAAGGAGTCGTGCGTAGGAGACTTGGCTGAAGATGTCGCATTCTCTAGCTTGGAAAGACTCGTTGGAGGATGCGCAGGGACTTCTGTTGGAGGCAAGACGGGCTCAGCAGCGAGATCATTCGACTTGGTGTCCTCGTGGAGTTCCTGTTTCACATCGCTAAGGGGCATTCTGCGCGTGAGCTTCTTGGGCGGACGGCACAAGTCAATGACATCACCCGGCACACTCGACAAAGCACGAAGGAATGGGCGAGGCTCGACGCAGTTTCAAGTACTAGATATTAACTTACATAACTTGACACACATATACTTATGCAAAACCAAGTAACAGTCAGAAACGCGGAAGTACTTGTCTCATTCTTTTCCTTTTCCCATGTTGGTTGCTAGTAGATGAGCTCCTCTGGTCCTGCTCTGCCTTGGCGTTGCCGGTAGTAGAAGACGCTGGTGTAATCGAATGATTGGAAGACTTAACTGACCTGAACTTTTCGGCTTGCCCTTTTGGAGCTGCTGCACCATCCTGGTCAGGGTTGTTGATGGTGGTAGCCTCAACACCTGCCAGTGTGGGACGACGCTCCTCGACGAAGGCCTTCCGGGTGAGGGCAGACTTGCCGTAGACAGTGCTGCAGAATGGAACCTTTTCGTCATCTAGGGCACCCTGCAACAAATTGAGAGAGCATTGAAGATGCGCGCTGTGATTTTCACCCTTGTTGGTCAGTTTGCCGTGCATGTAGGAGGATAATTTCACCATCTTCTGGCCAACGGTGATGCTTGATGGGAAGGCGGAAGTAGATAGCGATGTCGGCGAAGACTACCATAGATGACCGCTTGAACACGGCAATCAAGTCTTCCTCATTGAAATCCTTGTGGAATGATGGCCGCACGATCTTGTAGAAGGTCTCGAAATCGACCCGGTCAGATGTGACGTTGGTAGCCATGGGTGGTTCAGCAGATCGATCATATGGATTCGAGCAAGCCTGACAGAACTGGTTCTTATCAAAGGAAGATGCATTGTATCTGGCCATTATTCTTGCGATCAACTCCCGAAACCTCAGTCACGGCCTCAACTGAGGCAAGCCGCTCTAGGTTGAGATTGCCATCATCATAAACCCTAGGCTTCGTGCGATGGCCACGCTCCTTGCGGAAATAGTCCCGGTGGTTTGTGCTTTGAAAGGAAGGGTGCTGATCAACACGCTCGTCTTGAACCAGCCAGAAGGCGGACATGAGGGAGACTGGGCCTTTCCCGATCTCGGACTTCCCCGTCCAAATGATGGCGTGCTCCAGGACATATGGCAAGCAGGGAGCAATGACGAGATGAGGGCCCATGGCTTGAAATCCACCAGGGTCAGAGGCCAGTCTGTGATGGTGTTGGATTGGCTTCCCTGATCTGCCAGACACCGAAGGAATTCCTTTATGGTGCCCTTGTCCCAACGATAAAGGATGGCGTTGGGGTCGTTGACCGTCTCTTCGGTCCATGTGGTGAAATCCCCCTTGGCGTTATCCTCCGGTCCGTTTTTGCGAATGTACTGGAAGCCCTTACGGATATCCTCCGTCTCCCTGATCAGTTTGGCGCTGTTGTTGCCAGGCACGATCTTATGATAACGAATTTGAAAGCCACCGAGTCCCTCAAGAAGATACTGCAAGGCCTTGCTATTGTCCCTGTAGTTCTTTCGATAGTCAATTTCGAGTGCGCGGCCAACAGCCATGGACCTGATAGTGGTGTGCGTGACTTTGGCCCCATCCGCGAACTTGACGTGCTTGATAATGTCCATTTTTTTGTCCCCACGGGGTAGCACGATCACTTGCATGGTAAATGGTGACAGGTTGTTGCCCTGAACCTTGATGGGGTGCGGGAGGTCGTCATACCGCTGTTGGAGAAACTTAGTCTCAACCTCCTTCAGAGATCAATGTCACCTTCGTAACCGATCAGTACATCCAGGAATTGAAGCATCTTCTTGATGGTGTCATCTTATCTCATCCCTGGCTGGTAAGTCCCCAACCTTGACATGCCCTATCGGCTTGTTGACTACCATAGGTCGCTCCAGCACGACTATCTTCATGCCATCTGTGGCTGCGAGAGCCTCTTCTTAAGTGACCGCACCGTCAAGGTTCTGTTCATCTATGGATTACGCCAAAGAAACAGGCCGATGAGGAGGAACAGACGCCATGATTCGTTCTGGCACCTAGCAAAATTCGCGAACTCACGAGAGGCTGTAATGCTAACAGAATGTGCCAAATCTGCATGTGAAGGGTGCTTTACATGTGAGCGCCTTCCGTGTGACACGCATCCAGAACCAGTGCATCCTTTTTTTCAACTGATCTTGCTGTGACTTGCTGTGTGTGGGAATGAAGAATCAACAGAGCCAGCTGAGCCAGCCTAGTCGCTGAACAATTTCTGTCGGGCACACTCTTCCTACTGTAATGTTTTAACAATCTGTTAGTGACTAACTGACCAGTTGATAGAAAGCCAAGAGTTTTCTGCATACTCAGATCATCCTCTTGCGCGGTTCTACTAGGAGCAGCATCACAGAGCATCAGTCGAGTGTAAAAGCGACATGTCCTCTGCTGTCAACTCAGCTTCTTCTCCATTAGAGGTCACTTTGAAGAAGAGGTCCCTGAGGCGATAAACGAGCCCTCCTTGTTGCAACACTTGGGGGGGGCACCACATATATATATATAATACGTGTATATATATATACATATATACCTATACAGAAGGATTGTAGCCAACTTGCCGGATGAGCTCGAGAGAGTTGCTCAGCATTGCTGTCGCCCTTGGTTTGTGGAGGGATCACGCAACCCTAAACAGACGCGGCGTAGGGTTTATGGGTGGAGGTTCAGGGGTAAACTCTACATCTTAAGCCCTAAATCTCAACCAGCCAAAGTTACATCCTGGGCGTTTGAGCGGTAGCGCGAGAACTCTTGTGAAGCCTACTCCCCTCCCCCTATGTTTGAAACACCCACACATCAATCCCTGATATCAAATATGCCGATTGCGGTATCGTATACTAGAATACACTGGTAATATTAGGGTGGCGGTTTGATATTAAGGTGGGGGAGGCAATCTATGGGTAGATAGTCTTTGAAGCAAGAGTTGCTGCGCTTTAGAACCAGACTTACATCGGAGAGGATAAAGCCCAAAATACTAGAATACCTTTTCTGAGGACCCCTAAAAAGGTCCCCCTAATCGTGAGACGTCCCCCATACAAAGTGCAATAGGGACGCCTACAAGCGCAAGATGATTCCTATGTCTCCCAGGGGTCTGAGAAACCCGCCATACGGGCCTGCTAGAGAAAGCTTGTCCCTAAGGGTCCAAAGCATACAATTATCATATAATCCCCAAAACCCAAGCAATGATTTCCGGTATAGTATTTCAGAAGTATATGATCATTGTTTACTGGACCCTTAGGGTGCAGCTCTGGTTGGTTTCCTTCTGGGCCTCCGCCTTAGTTTGGGGGCCCATTGGCTCATGCATTTGGTGCAGGATGACCGGATTTGGGTTTAGGTTTCCTGCAGAATCCGAAAAGCTGGGCAAACAAGTGCCATGATTTGATGACTTTCCTTCTTCCTGAATCCATAAACCGAACACCCTGCAGCTCCCCTAGAGTAATTTCTTTTGGAAGACCCACCAAGGGACCCGTACTACCACGGGAACCCAAATCCACTGACAAAGGAGAATACCCGTCGGCAGCTGCTAGACATGTTGAATTCTACCGCTCCATGTTTACAACGCTGCGATTTGGTCAGTCAAGAGGCCGTCCGCTGCATGACCAACTGAACGACCTCCCGGCTACCTGAGTTTTAGGCTTGGGGGCTTTCACAGATCTGTAGCTTTCTGGTTCCATGTTGGTGTATTACAGTATAAAAAAACCAGGAGCTATGTTTTTCTAAAAACAAATTCTGGGCGAATGATAATAGCGCATCATCTGAATCCAGGCCCGTTTAGGTATGCTCCCGATAGTAGCTACAATTGGGCGTGCGCTCGTTTCAGTGCGTTTTGTTTTGCCAAGTTACCCTAAACCCCTAAACTCTAAGCCCTAAATTTCATCCAACAATGAGCCAGTCGACCTACCTTGGATTTCGCCTTAACTCCTTCACAAATCCGACCCCTTCAGACATCCTAAACACAAACCCTTAAGCCCTAAACCACTTACCTCTCAACCCTAGATCCTAAACCCTAAGCCGCTAAATTCTTAAGCCATGCAAACCATACCAAACCCCAAACCCAAATCAAGCCTAATCAGTCCAGGACTTGGAATCCAATCGGATTCGCGCAGTTTAGTGTGTAGGGTTTGGAGGGTTCAGGGTTTAGGGGTTTGGGGTTCAGGACTGAGTGGGTGTTCTATGGAAAGCCCGGACGATCGGCTTTCAAAGTACTCCTTCTTGGCGTAAGGTCCAAAGTCCTCTAACAAAAACCTTACAGGACCAGACAGCGGGCCACAGTTGCGACCCGTGAAACATGCAGGGGGCACATGGTTTTAATCTTAGATCTGGGGTTCGTGGTTGGGTTCTTGGGTTTGAGGTGGATGAGTGGGCTGATTCGGGGTTACTGTAAATAATCACCAGCACCGACACTTAAACCCCTTAGAGGTCTGGGTAGGGGGGGGTCCTTGAAGGGATAGTAATTCGCTATACCCTAAACCCTAATTCCCATGCGCTCAGGGTACTTCAAGGCCTTGCGCGGCTGGCAAGAAGCCATCCACCAAACCAACTCCACACAAAGTATTCTTACTGCTATTACAACTACTACTATTACAATTACCGTTATTATACTAATAGTATTTCTATTACTGTTATTACTTTATGATTAGCATTATTTCTACAATGTAAACTCTAGACCGTAAAGCCTCAGACCCCCAACAACTGATATACCAGAATTTCATCTTTGAGGTACGGCACTCGCGAATCTAGGAATCTACGGGACAGAAATCTGAAGGAACTCTACCTGATGTTGCCCATACAGACCCAGAGACATCATTGACACTCCCCTCCAAGAGCTGTGTTATCCGTGCGATGGCTGTCGTTCTGAAGAAAATTTGATGTCCAAATCCTACTCCACCAAACCCTGAGGACTGCTCTAACTGGACAAGGGCTGCTGCAGAGGACAAAGCCCTTACTTGGAAATGCCCTCAAATTTTGGAAGCCGCTGAGAATCTAGTGTTGGGACTAAATACCGATCGAGGTCTATTTGAGGTGCCCTCTACTGTACGGCGGTTTCCCGAAATTAGGGGTACCATTAGTACCATTTTGGGGGCTCCCATAGTAAGGATTATGATATTTTCGTGTCTATATTGGGGTCACCTTTTTGATGGAAACTACCAAACTTCTACAAGGAAGTTAGATATAGCAATTGATAATCATCTGTATGAAGCCCAAAATAGAGTCGGTTTCCATTTCATCGTTCATGTTCGCTTGTTTTCCTTTGATTCTCTATCAGTGGAGGCTATATCCCTCAACCCGAAATCCTAAATAGTAGCTTCCCTTTTCTGCTCCCTTCCCCCTAGCTATCCCTGTATGAACCCTAAAACCCCTATATGATCCTAAGCCCTAAGCCCCATATATATATATATGTATATATCCATATATAGACCGTACATTACTCAGGCAACCAGAAGTCCGCAGGCCATTGAAGGCTTCTGAGGAGTGACTCTAAAATCCTTCAGGCGCACCCAAATAATCCACATGTAACGAATAAAAGGATGTAGGAAACCCCAACCTTCAAACTGAGGACCCTATGACTATCACATGATGGTTATTATAGGGTCCTCATTTTGGGAGTTGGGGTTAGCAGAATCCCCCGATTAATAACTCCTATTCGCCATGGAGCCAAGAATTCCCATATAATTCATGGACCTCGGTTACTGTTTGGGAATAGATTAGGGACTATACCCATGCTCAACAACCTAAGGGACCGCTATGTCCATCCTTGAAGATGCAGTAGATCATATGGCCCGTGGATGCCTGCTTCCCCCTTTCTGAGAAACCCGTGTGGTGTGGTGCAAAATGTTCGCCACCCAATTCGACAGGCTGCTTGCGCGAAGCTCCAGGAGCTCAGCAAGAGACAAGAACCTTGGCTTAGGCTTCAGGGCTGAGGCGTATACTATCTAGTAGTTTCCACTTTCCCTAAATAAGCCCAATATACTGTCTAGTAGTTTCCATTTTCTTTTCCATTATCCCTAAATGACCCCAATATACAATATAGTAGTTTCCATTTTCTTTTCCGTTCTCCCTATATCACCCCGATATACTACTATATTAGTTTCCATCTTCTCTTCCAGTATCCCTAAGTTCTGGCCTGCAGGGAGGATCGTGAACGCTCGGGGAAGGTGAGGTAACATCTCACTGCCATGTACAAGCTCTGTGTGAGTCTTTCACTCGGATGGTGTTGTGACAATCTTGGGGGGCCCCATATTCTTAGGATTATATAGGGTGATATGGGGGTAATAAAGGGATTATATTGGGATGACACAAAATAAAATGGAAACTACTTCTTGTGCACGCCTAAGATTCTGCGATGGAGAAACATCAGAGAATTGGACACGATCGAAAAAGTGACAGCAAGTTCATGCATGCATGGGCAACAAGGCTGGCCTTCAAATTAGTCATGATTCTTCCCATTGCGGTCGGAAACAGTGGCCGGAATGGCGCCCACCGCCCGCACCGCCCCGCACCGCCCGCACCG